ACAAATGAGTGATGCAAGAAAAAAATTGGATCGTTTGCGGCCGTCATCGGCTCTAGCATTTGCCCTAGAGATGAAGGCCAGAAATGAGTGTATGAATGCATTTTACCTCCAATCCACAAATGAGCATTTCCGTGAGCGTACTCGAGAGAATTGTAATCGAGTCGATATTTGCATTTCTGCAAAAAAATCGTCGATTAAGCCTAGTCATTAATTGAGCTGATTCAGTCAAAACTGACTGATTGATTACGGTATTTTCGAGAAATACCGTATTTATTCTAATAAAAGCATCGTCTCTAATAGAAGCACAGTCTCTAATAGAAGCAACAATCCAGACCCCTCGAGATCTTTCAAAAGCTTGACTTTCGACTCCTTTTTGGGGGTTCTATGGACAGCTCTAGACTTAAAACTAACTAATATTGCACCGGCAGTAAAATTTAAAACGTGGTTTTCGAAAAATTTTAAAAATTGTTTTTTGAAAAAATCATAAGGGGGGACCATATGGATTTTTTTTGTGGGCTCCGGATAAAAAAATTATTTTAACTTTAAACGTGTTTTGAGTACGTTTTAGGCCAAGGACTAACGTTTAAAATAGTTTTTAGGAGATTTTTTTTGATCCATTTGGTTCCCCCTTACCTACTTTTTTGGCCGCCCATTTTTGGGAGGTTGAAAAATAGAAGCACAGGTGCTTTTATTAGAATAAATAACTGCATCTTGTAGCTGCCTTTAAGAAAGTGTATTATTCGACATGTTAATCCTCGAATACATTTTGAGAATGCAAAATTAAGATTTCAAATTTGAATTTCATTTGAAACAAGTCAACTTTGTTTGGATTCAGCTCAAACATACAGCTCTAACTGCAGAGAAGGCGAGCATCTTGTTGATGGTGGTCAAGTTGAGGACGTAGGCAATATCAGAATCATGAAACAGTCGATAAATGACGGTCTGCCTTGTGGAAACCTACTGTCATTGGACTTGCCTTTGCTCCTGCTTCACGTCGAAGGGGAACATTTTGAAAGAAAAAAAGAAATTGATTTTTTAGCTCCATCACCCAACCTCTATTGTTCTCCAATTGGCGAACGGGCCATCGGTGACCACTCCTTGGCCACTTCCCATCAATTCAACTCTAAATAGAAAGAGTTTTTGAGCATTTTGCTCGGATTTAATATAATAGAGTTAGGGATTGAGCCGGGAGCTAAATCACGAAGCACTAAATATTCCTCAACTTCCCAACTCCATCTAGGTCAACAACAAAAATTGGGTCGATTTTCTCTAACTTCTGATAGCAAAGTCAGCTCGTTGTAAACCTCTTTCTTATTCTTACTTGTTTTCAATTTAAATAGTTGTATTTCTAGTAAAGAGTTTCGTCTTCGGATTTCTTTAAATTTCTCATTGATCAAAGTATTTTGAGCATTTTGTCCGGGCTTAAGATAATGATTGATAGAGATGTGCTAAATCGACCCAGAAAGATCCAGCTAAACTTGCGTGAAAAGCGTAGAATCCTGTGGTCTAGGTAGGCGAGCCTCGAGAGCCGAATCCCAATAGGGAATGTAGATTTCTGGATCGATTCGTCTCAAATCTAGCTCAACTCTGAAAACAAAGGATTATGACAAAAATCAATGCTAAAGAACTCTTTGAGAAATTCCCGGTGCCACGGTAAAAAGGCTGGTCCAGAGTGGGCGCCTCCTGCCTGACTCATTTCGGAGTGCATTTTTGCTAAAAGAGAAGGAAATTCTTCTTTATTCAAAATCCAAATTAAAAACATTACTAAAAAACAAAGTTTTAAAGTATTTTTGATTTTTTTGTGTGCTGACCTAAAAGCTTTCCGTAACTTGCCACAAAATTGTTTTTTTGCTTGTAAAGCCATATTTAGAAAACTGACAAAGAAAAATTTTCAATTCGCGCTAAAAAGAAGCCAAAATTTGATTTGTACAATTGTATTGGGTTGGGGAGAAGGGTTCGGCGCTCAAATTTAAATTTTTTTAAACCAAAAAAAAACCTAAAAAAAAAATTTTTTTTTTTTCAAAACAACCCCTCTCCAAAAAAAAAAAAAAAAATTTTAATAAAAAAAAAATTTTTTTTTTTTTTTTTTTTTTTTAATAAAAAAGTTGTTATTTATATTGGGGTATGGTTATTTTTTTTCTTTTTAATTTTTTTTTTAATTTTATTTTTTTTTTTTTTTTTTTTTTTTTTTTTAAATAAAATAAATTTTTATTTTATTTTTTTTTTTAGTTTCTGGTTGTTTTTTTTTTTTTTTTTTTTTTTTTTTTTTTTTTTTTTTTTTTTTTTTTTGTTTTTTTTTTTTTTTTTTGGTTGTTTTTGTTTTTTTTTTTTTTTTTTTTTTTGTTTTTTTTTTTTTTAATTTTATTTTTTTTTTTTATATAATTTTTTTTTTTTTAGTGGTTTGATAGTTGTTTTGGTTTTTTTTTTCTTTTCCCCCCCCCCCCCCCCTAAATTGAGTGTTTTTGGTGATGCCGGGCCCAAATCAATCAATCTTAATCAGATTTGGTATTCAATCTGCTCACGCACCAATCTCATTATATTTCCCGGCTCGTTTCATTTGATTGACGGCCTCATGAAATCGTTGTCTCTCGAAGTCGCTCATCTGTCGATACTCTTTACGTATAACCTGTAATTGAGAACTTTTCCTTTTCTCATCCATCCACAAACTTTTCCGACACGTTTCCCTCGATACGTGCAAGTGCTAGATCGATTCCCTGATTATATGTTTATAACCAAAAAAACAGACAACAAACCGGTCAACATTTCACAAACACAGCTTAGATCCATGCATTCTCGGATGTTTGTCACTATTTTCTCACTCACGGGCGCCCATCCAAACTGCATTAATCCAGGAAGGCCAGCTGCTCCTCCAGCAGGAGCTCCCGGTGGCATATCAAAACTTTGTTGTTTTTCAGAGTCTTCCTAAATCGACCTTGGTTACCGTATTTTCCCTAATAGTAGTGCACTCTAAGCCTCGCCTAAATTGCTCGAATTCTCGAAAACCGCTTATCAGAACCTATCAATGTGGGGTCGGAAAGTGTAGCTGACGATTAGATCTAGTGGGGGATTTGAGTGTTGAGCTTCTGTGAAAACTTTGAAAGCCGTAAAATAGTCACCAACTCGGCTCGCTGGGGTGCACTACTATTAGAGAAAATACGGTATTCGCTATAATCGAGGTTTGGATTTTTTCATCAGAATATCAAACAAACATAGTAAGGGACATCACTTAATCTGGTCTTTCGTACTCTTAACAAATACATGTTTATTTTTATTTAGAAGTCCTGCTGTGTACAATATGTTTTGGTTTTGTTCTAGTATATTCCGCTTTCTAAATTCACTTTATATTCGCATATTGCAAAGCAAAATTTAATATAAAGTCTCTTTATGCTTTAGGCTCAGTTTGGTCAAACTCTCAGGATTTCTCTGCAGAAGCCAATCAAAAAACTACACAAAAGTCTTGCATTTTTGTTTGTCAATGAAGAATAAAAGTCACAAACCACGGCCTGGGTATCCATCTCGTGCAGTTGCTCACAAATGATCTTCGCTGCAGGAGTGGGAGCTTCTTGGCAAGCTGCGTTAACAGCTTCAGACATCCAAAGGAATTTGAGAAACACCAGAAACAACAGCCATCGCATAATTGACAATAATCTTTAAAAGATTAAGTCAAAAGGAAAAATAAATAGGGCTTTTCAATAAAAATAGAAATGATTGCGGAACCTTGTTCCTAAAACGATCAAAATGGTGGAACTGATTAGGGATGAATGTGAGCAGAGTCGGGTTTTCAATTTATCTAGTTGTAGTGATCTAGATAATTATCGATAATGAAAGTAAGCAAGCATAGTTGACACTTTTTGTTGCTCGAAAATTCTCCCAATCAGAGACAATCATTATTTAGAAGTTTCAAGCAAGTGCCAAGCAGTCCATTTGATGATCCGATTGGCATAAGTAACCTAGTAAAATGATGAATGGTATTAAAATCTTTTCAACAACAAGAATCACATTCATTCGCTTCTACTGTTGTCGTCTTCAACCTGAGAAAACTTCTAAAACGAAACGAAAAACGAATTTGTGATTAAAACTTTGGTGAGTCTGGTGGGTACGTTGAATAAAGCACCAAAGAAAAATTGATTAAAAAATCATTTTAGCACTAGGAGTAAGTCCTTGAGCTACTTAAACTTTTTCTAAAATTCGATTTGAAATTCGATTTTTTTGAAATACCCAGTATACGTGAAGACTGTTCTGTAACCGATCATCACACAATTGTCACTACAGTCATTACAATATCTGGTTGAAACAGAGCTCGCTTTCGTGTGACCAACCTTGGGTACTTTTCCATCAGCTTTTCGTAAACGCAGTCCAACTGCTGGCAATAGAGCTCGGCACGACCATTCGGATGGCACGACCATTCGGAACCAACACAAAGTGCAAGATTCCTTTTCGCAGCTGAGTCAGAACTTTTCCTCAAACTAATGCATAATCTAAGGTTTTTTTTTACCTTTAGACGCTTTATTCATTGACATTATATGATAATCTATCATACATAAGAGATTTTCAACTCGCCTTTTTTAAACAAGTGTTCCGTTTTTCCAAGGAAACGCTGATCAATGAAGTGTATGGTTTAAATTTGTACTTATTCGAATAGTGTTTATTGTGCTCCACGATGCCAGTAGAAAGTTTTAATTTTATGGCAAAAGTCTCATGGTGATGGTCCATATGGTGGTGGTGCACATGGGGGCTCAGAAATTCCAGGTATTGATGGTCATTATTGATGGAAACATTGTTCAGCCCAAAAAAAATCATTTTGGCACTAGGAGTAGGTTCTTAAGCCATTCAAACTTTTTCTAAAATTCGATTTGAAATCCTACTTTTTTGGAACACCCTGTTCACCCTGAAGACTGTTCTGTAACCGATCATTACACAATTGTCATTACAGTCATTACAGTTCAAAAATTGAATTTTTTAAGGTTACAATATGCAATTCTACTCAGATAATGAATTTATTGACATAAATTTGTCTGTGTTGTCGACCCGATTGTGGCCACGGTAATCGTTTTCCCTCTTCGTGGTTTTTCCAATCGTTTTCGAAGAAATAGCGCCGAAAGCAAGCTAAAAAATTTAAGTTGTAATTGCTATTTGAGCAAATAAGTATTTTATAAACACCTGAGTACAAAATAGAGAAGTAAATATTGATTGAGAATCAACACTACTTGCAGAAGCATGATAACGTTGGCATAGAAAAACAAATAGACAATGGTGAGGATCGTTTGCCCGCCAATTGTGACCAATATGGTGACGAAAGAGTTGGCAAGCATCTGGGATATTTTATTGGAAGCTACAACTTAAAATGAAAAAGGAAAATAACTAACACCAGTGCTCACTTGGATTTCACTTTGCCAATCCCTTTAAGTCCTGTTAAAATGCACTCTATGCACAAAAGCTACTGGCTACCTGTTCAAGTTGTGACCACATCTACCGTACCCTCCACTCACTCCACGGATTTACTGTAGGATTTTTTCATGTTTCTTTTTACTCTCGACTTTCTACCGATCCAGGTCTCTCTTTAACCTAGAACTTAGAGCCTTTGAACCATTGGGACTGATAACTTCCTTGGGAAAGGCGCCAGGTCAAGATGGCCTTTTTGATGGCCCAATGTATTTGATAGAGCTTTGAATGGGGATTCCGGATCAGCTTTTAGTTTTTCCAATAGAAGCTATGGCATTAAAGTTTAGGTCGTTTTTCGGTGCTGTTTAGGTCTTATTTTACGGCGTTGTTGGAGCGTCAACGTGAGAAGAGAAAAAGTTGAAGCGCGTGAACCAAATCAATATTCAATCACGGATGCCACCGACTTACCTTTAGACCAGAGCTGCTATCGTCTAGTGTGGGAAATCAGGCTGAAATATTGTCGGATTTCGGGACTTAAACTTTGATGTCAGATATCTTGCGATACAGAGCACCATTGGAAAAACAAAAAACTAATTCGGAATCCCCATCCAAAGCTCTATCAAATACACTGGATGCACATCAAAAATCCCATCTTAACCTGGTGCCTTTCCCTAGTTAGATGTGATCCAAAAACAGAAGCACTCACTTGATACATCAACAACTTCTCGGCTCTTGTCGCCGCGCCGCTCTTTTTCAACTAAAATTTATTTTGATCTATTTTCAGGAAATTTTCTTTTGAGCAAACCTTCTTTATTTGACGATTAGTCATGAAATCCATGGCACACATCAAATAATTAGGGAAAATGATAAATGTGAGATCGATGGGTGACTGGATTCGATCCATTTCGTAAAAGAGAAACTTCAATCGAGCAAAAGCGATTCGTAAAACGAATGGACATGCCATTTGTAGATATGGCCATCGCTGAGTGTAACGGAAATAGGCACGGTCAAAAGATACAGCAAAAAAGCGACTGAAGGAAACGTGTTAATTGGAAAAGTGGTTCAATATAGAAAGTAGAAATGTTGATTGTGTTTGATTTAACAAATTTTGTTTTGAGACGAATCAAACTTACAGCTTTGCACAAGATTTACTACCAAGAATACCGGATTGTAGGTTCTTTTTGTTAACTGCAGTTAGTGCATACATCTCATTAATTTCTTTGAGACTAATTACCTAGTCGACACAATAAGCTGACAGTACTGAGCCATATCAGTGATCCCGTAGAAGTTGATCCATTCAAGAATAGGTTCCAGTGATTTCAAATAGCCTGTTGAACAGCTAAACTGCAAAAGTTTCAGCAAAAAGACTAGTGATAGGGTTCAATAATTATAGCGACAACTTTTTGGAAAAGTAGCTGGGAAATGTCTAATTTATTTCAAAAGTGTCAAGTGTTATATAGAGAATTGTATTCCTAATTCTTGGCAACATTTATCTACCGAAAACTTCCCGATTGGACTTATACAACTCATTTAGCGAGTGCTTGAATGAGCTCTAGGCAGTTATCAACTTAAATTTTGGTTATTCCAGTTTTGCCAAAACAGTTAAGTATGATTCTTAAGGTTATTAAGTGTTGTCAAACGCTATTTTTACATTGAAGAAATATTGAAAAGCTTTTCTTAACAATTTTTAATAGAGAAAAGCGGCTAAATGATAGATTCGTCAAAGAGCTATCGACTAGAACTCATTCAAATGCTAAATGCTCAAACACTTGCTAAATGAGTTGTATAAGTCCAACCGGGAAGTTTTTGGTAGATAAATGTTGCCGAGAATTAAGGCTACAATTCTCTATATAACACTTGACGCTTTTGAAATAAATTAGACATTACCCAGATACTTTTCCAAAAAGTTGTCGCTATAATTCGATAGAGTTGCGACAAGTTTTGGCTCTACTCTCCTCATTTATTACAGGGTGACCAAGAATTACCGCAACAACGTCGTATTATGTTATGAGCCCCATTTCACTTTTTGCTTACCTGTTTTTATCGTTTTTGTGTATTTTTCTTATTTTATGGTATGATTACTAACTTTCAATACATTAGTATCGTTGTTTTCAGGAATGGTGAAAGCGTCTCCACATCGACAATCGATCCTTGAGCCAAAGCGGCAGCGTGTTCAGGCGAGCGAGATCTCAAAGCGCCTGAGTGTCCCCAGAAGCCTTGTTTCTCGAACCATTTAACGTTATGAAACTCTGGGCACAGTTTCTGATCGCCTTAGAAGAGGTTCAAAACGAACAGCGGTTACTCCGGCTAATGTCAAGAAAGTGCGCGATCTTCTAAGATAAAACCCTAACCAATCGCAGGAATGGCACAGAAAATGGGTCTGAAGAGAAGCTCCGTCAACCCAATCATCAAGAAAAAGCCGAAAATAAAGCCGTACAAGAAGAACAAATCTCAATTACTATCAGCTGCTGCGAAGAGTAAGCGAAAAGACAGATGATGCCTATTTACTCGCCACGGTCAATGCGTTTCCCAAACGTTTGGAAAAATAGGAGGTGCAAAACGAACAGCGGTTAATTGTTAATTTGTTACTGTTATATGTTGAATAAAGATATTTAAGCTAACTTTTCGAGATGGGTTACATATTTGTTTAAAAGCCAGGCCTTTTGTGTGTTGCGGTAATTCTTGGTCACCCTGTAGTTCAATTTTCATTTAAAACTGACTATTAGTTATCTATGGGCTTTTTTTTTTTATTTGTTTCATATTGTAAACCCTTTGAATTGTCAAAAGTGAGTTTATCTAGGTGTTATAAATAAGACTTAGACTCAGGTTCAAAAATCAAGTCAGACCGAGCACAGCTTTCGCCTTTCGAAATCCATCGATTTTGCCCCAAATTTCATGAGCCTTACGTCATTATCTGTAAATTGCAAAGAGAAGACATCAAAAACAGAAAGGAGAACGCGAATTTCGTGAGATTCTCTATTGCCACCAGAAGTCTAAATTTAAGAGATGATCCAATGTGTTTTTGGGATTTTGCTCACCGAATCGGAAACGCCAATCGATCATTTGTCACCGCACACAAAGCGGCCATTGAAGTGGTGAATAGTGAGAAGAAGAAGATCTCAATGAGGAATTTCATTAGTTAGAATGAATGCATATTTTTCTATCATACAGTCGAGCCAAATTTTGGATCGGTTTTTACCTTACTTACGATTAGATATTGTTTTTTAGCTTTCAAACTGTTTTGACGTTTATCGATTTAGTTCGGTCGGTTCGGTAATGGTGAACGTGAACCGAATGAAACCGCAATCAAAATGAAATGAAACCGCTGTGTTTAGCTTTGTTATCCAAAGTCGACAATTGTTGATTGATTTAAAATTCAATGAACTCTCACCCCATAAACGCTCATTTGCATGTAGCCAAGGATTTCATCTCTCAACTCGATGCTAATGTCCAGTGGGTTAGTCAATAAAACCCACCATTGTGTCATGATGATGAAGCCAACAATGTAGATACCTGGATGATAAAATTGTTAAAGCTTCTGGCAAGTACTGATAATGTTGTTTACGTTTCTGTCATTAATATAATATAATGATTTCCACATCCAACCTTCCAGAAGCAACGCGATACCCAAAACGGCCCATAATTCGGCGAATCGGGACAAAGCGAAAAGCTCAAAGAGTTTCATCGGATTATAAAATCGGCCAGACTTGAGATTATATCTCAATTTTGCCCTTATGAAATCAGACTTTTGATTCTATTTATTTTTTCTCATAACGGCAGCTGTTTCCTTCGTGTTCTGGGTATCTTTTTTTTGTATTTTTGATGATTTTTTGGGAGATCACCTGTTTGTCGCTAATCTTTTCGATCACTGTTCAAGCATTTCAACGAACTTGGTACATGATTAATATTTCTGAATCAAGAATCTTGATAAAAAGGGTAAAACTGATTCAGTGAGATTCAGTGACTTGCCTGTATTCGTGAATACAAAGCGTGGCAACACTGAAGACTAACAGTGATGGGCACTGTCCATGAGTAGATACGATGGGAAAACATGTGAAAATACAGAGTTGAAGTTGTCTAGGAAATGGTACTTTATCAGCTAAAGCTAAGTAAAACTCTTTGTCAGCTAAAGGATTCGAACTCACGTCAAAAGATTTGTGATAGTTCCGTAGGCAGTACTACTATCCAATCTACCACGACCACTGTTGAAAGGCATTTAAGGATGGTTTTAAATGGGTAGAGCTAAAACTTGTTTACCAAGTATTTCGCATTTTCGATGTGTTCTGCAAAAAATAAAACCGGATTCGGAAGCAGCGCAAAAAAAACTGCATCCGATAGGTTTTATTTGGAAATGCCACGGTGACCTAGTACCATTCCCTCGTAAGTGTTGCCATAAATTGAGATCACAGAGATTCTTCTCACACATCAGTAACACTCTTCATGCCTTCTAACCCATTTCAATCACTATAGAGCTCTATCATTACACCATTACCCTTTGCTTTTCATTCACCCTAATGAGAAAGTCCAAAATTAGCATTCAACGCAATCATACTTTCAAAAGTTATCTACACCCATGCACAAAAAAAATGTCACATCGTTTTTACAAAACTTTACGCCTAAATTTGACCTACTAAACGTGTTCCAAATTCTATGCTGTCAAAAGGTTTTAGATAGCAAAAAGCTTCTACTTTCTTGTGAAAAAGTGTTAAAGTTCCAGCAATTTGTTTAAATTTTTATTTTTCAATAAATACCGGAAGAACACCAAAAACGGGTGCACAAAAAAAATGTCACATTTAACTTGAACCTGCTTTTTTTCCGTTTTACTTTTTTGATTGCATTCTTTTATGCTAATTTTTTTAATTTTAGAATGGTAAAATCACAGCTCTCAACGCCAGACAAAGAAAAGATTGTTGAAGCAAGGAAACAAGGA